GAAAGATGATGCTGTGAGCGCTGCACTCAATATGCCAGCAAATTGAGAAAACTCAGCAGTGCCCACAGGACTGGAAAAGGTGTTTTCATTCCAAACCCAAAGAAAGACAAATGTCAAGGAATGCTCAAACTACTGCACAATCGCACTCATCTCACATGCTAGTAAAGTAATCTCAAAATTCTCCAAGCCAGGCTTCAACAACATGTGAACTGTGAACTTCTGGATGTTCAAGCTGGATTTAGAAAAGGCAGAGGAACCAGAAATCAAATTGTGAACATCTGTTGCATCATCAAAAAAGCAAGAGAATTCCAGAAAAACATCTGCTTTATTTATTATGTCAAAGCCGTTGACTGTATAGATCACAACAAACTATGGAAAGTTCTTCAAAAGATGGAAATACCAGGCAACTTACCTTCTGCGAAACCTGTATGCGGGTCAGGAAGCAACAATTAGAACCAGACATAGAACAACAAACTGGTTCCAAATCGGGAAAGGAGTACATCAAAAATTTCTCATCAAAAGGTTGAGAAAATATTTGAAAAGATAGTAACTGAAAAATGAAAACTTTCCTAACCTGGGGAAATCGTGAACCAAATCCAGGGTGCAGAGTCTGATATAGGACAAACCAAAGAGGAACACACCAAGACACATTGTAATCAAAACGATAAGAATGAAAAATAAAGATAAGGTGCTAAAAGCAGCAAGGGAAAAGCAATGAATTACCTACAAAAGAATCCCCAGAACATGACCAGCTGCTGTTTCACTCACAAACAAAAAAACGCAGAAAAAGCATCTGACAAATTCCAACACCCATTTACGATAGAAACTCTCCAGAAAGAGGGCATAGAGGGAACCGACCTCAACATACCAGAGGCCATATATGACAGTCACAGCCACTTACATACTCAAGTGGTGAAGAGCTGAAAGCATTCTCTCCAAGATCGGAAACAAGGATGCCCACTCTTGCCACTGTTTTTTGGGCTGCACCACTTGGCATGTGGGACTTCACTCACTGACCAGGGCGTGCCCCCTACACTGCAAACAGTCTTAACCACTGGACCATCAGGGAGGTCTTCTTGCTACTTGTATTCAATATAGTTTTGGAAGCCTGAGGCGAAACAACCAGAGGAAAAAAGAAGAATCAACTGCGAAAGAAAGAAGACTGTCACTGTTTGTAGATGACATGATATTATACAAAGAAATCCTAACATGCCACGAGAAAACTACTATAGCTCATCAATGAATTTGGTAAAGTTGCAGGATACAAAAATTAACATATAGAAATCTATTTCTGTAAACAACAAATTATCAGAAAGAGAAATTAAAGGGACAATCATAAATTAAATTACGTAAAAAAGAATAACATACCTAGGAATAAACCTACCTAAGAAAACAACTTGTACTTCAAAAATAGCGTCTTATAGTTTTTACTCAGCCTTAAAAAAGAACAAAAGAATGCCATTTGTAGCAACATGGATGGACCTAGAGATTATCATACTCAGTGAAGTCAGATAGAGAAATACAAATATCATATGACATCCCTTGTATGTGGAATCTAAAAATGATACAGGGACTTCCCTTGTGGTCCAGTGGCTAAGACTCCATGCTTCCAACGCAGGTGGCCTGGGTCTGATCCCTGGTCAGGGAACTGGGTCCCACGTGCTGCAACTAAAAAGTTTGTTAGGAGGTGGTCCTGCATGTTGCAGCTAAGACCTGGAACAGCCAAATAAATAGATATACATATTTAAAAAGTAATACAAATGAACTTATTTACAAAACAGAAATATGCTCAAAGAAAACAAACTTATAGTTACCAAAAGGGAAAGGAGGGACAGAGGATTAAGTAGTTTGAGATCAACAGATACACACTATATATAAAATAGATAAAGAAGGACCTACTGTATGGCACAGGGAAGCCTATTCAATATTTTACAGTAACCTTTAAGAAAAATCTCCATTATAGGTTATATATAAGTAAATGACTTTGCTATATACCTACCAGAAACTAATGCAACACTGTAAATCCAGTATACTACAAAAAGTAAATACATACTTAAATTTTAAAGAATTGTTGTTTGGAAAATGATATACTCGTTCTATCAGGAGAAAAGCAACCCTACCTTTAGGTACTAACTCCCTGGAAACTTATTTATACATATAAGAACACAGAATATTCAGTGAAACACTCATTTATAATAATGACAAAGTGGAAGCCGATTGTTTCTGAAAAGAAGAGGAAGTCTGGTTTATATAATAAAATTTTGTACACCAAGGAAAATAAGCTACATCTGCCGACATGGACAAATCTAAAAACAGTGTTGAGTGAAAAGAAGTTGTAAAAAGATGTATACAACATTCATGTAAAATGTTAAAATACAAAGAAATCTTAATAGTCTATGGATAAACACTACAAGAATAAAAAAATAGTAAAATACAGAAACTATAGAAGTATAGGACTTCCTGGTGGTGCAGTGGGTAAGAATCCACCTGCCAATGCAGGGGATATAGGTTCGATCCCTGGTCCAGGAGGGGTCCACATGCCTAGGAACAGCTGATACGCCTATGCACCAAAACCACTGAAGCCCACAGGCCCCAGAGCCAGCGAGCCGCAAATAGTGAGGCCGTGTGCTGCAACGACTGAGGCCCGCACACCGAGAGCCTGTGCTCTGCAGCAAGGAGCCACCGCAGAACACCCGCGCACCGCACTGGAGAGCAGAGAAACTCGAGAAAGTCCGTGTGTGGCAGTGGAGACCCAGCACAGCCAAAAGTGAATAAAAAAAACGATAAAGCCACCAAATTCAGAATAATTTTTTGGAGGTGAAAGGAAGGTGAGGATAGAGGTAGATCCAAAAATGTCAGAAGAGAAAGATCCATAAAGTAATAAATAGTAAAGGCAGTCAATGGTGAAGAGCAAGAGTTGGCAAGCCTTTGGGGTAAAGGGCTTGAGAGTAAATATTTAAGACTTTGCAAGCTTAAGGGATAAAATAAATCAACAGCAAGTTTTTTATTTAAAGACAAAAAGCATCTTTACCTTGCAGACCATGCAAAAGCAGACAGACTGTTAAAAACAGTAATTTTTAAGATTTAAAGAAAAATATACTTTATAAAACAGATTCTTTTTCACTGAATGCATTTTTTATTACTAAGACAGAAACGAGTTATACTTGGACCTGCAGGCTGCAGTGTGCTAACCACTAGCCTAGAGTAGCCATCAGTCCAACAGGACTTTCTGGAATGACAGGAATGGACTGTATCTGCGTCGTCCCCAGTGTGGTAAGCACTAGTCACCTGTGGCTACTGAGCACTTGCAATGCAGCAGGTGTGGCTGACTAGCTTTGAACATTGTACTGAACCCTAATTAAGACAGCCATCCTCGAGTTTGAATGAATTCAAACCGCAGGTGGAAGGGCAGTAGCTGAATAAACAAACTGGAAAAGTGAGAGACTGTGATGGAGAGTAGGGCACGTGAACCCAGGATTCCATCAGGAGCAGGAAAGTCTGGGCTGCCGTCAAGGATGTCGGGTGTGACTGGCACGGAACGCGGGCAGCTATGGAGATGCAGCAGACAACTTGAGGTCAGGGTCAGAAGAGGCAGCTGGGAACACAGACACCACCGACTGGGATAGGGAGGCTCCAGTGAGGAGAGAAAAGAAGAGACTGCGAGGATGGTAATGTGACAGAGGCGATGGCCACAGGGAAAGCCAAGGTTTGGGGGAGAAATGCCCAGAAGGGTGAGAGCAGTGATGGCTGGAGACAAAGACGACCAGAGAGATAGGGTACGTCTGTAGTTAAAGAATGGAAAAAACCGACGCACTATCTTATACAAACTTTATTGCTCTTTAAACACGAATCAAAATTTACAGAAGTATATAAAAGTATAGGTTTCAAACTCTCAGAACTGAACTCTCACTGAATTTACTTTTTTCTTAGAAAGGTAGATTCTATTCTTTAATTAGGAACTTTGAAGAAATGAAGTCACACCAGGATTTACAGGCAGAGGCAGAGACCCCAAGGCAGCTGGTCCTCCCTGGGCAGGCTGGAGCAGTTAAACCAGGCCAGACCCACTCCAGCTCGGGCCGCGGTCTACTCTCCACATCAGGGTCCCAGGTTGGCTGGGTCGCAAACTGGCTTCACGTCACCTGAGGACCTGACTTGAGGTAATTTGTGGCTTCCGGTTTGAGCACACCTCACTTCTGCCACTGGCAGTGTCCCCTGGCCATGGACTTAGGAATTTGAGCTAATGCATAAAAAAGGCCTTGGCTTTCACACATTTAACATTTGGCATTTCTGACTAAACAAGGAACTATTCTGAGAGGCCATGACGCAATAATTTGTGATTATGCTAATGTATCACTTTCAACAACGGGCATGTGGAGCTGTGGGTTCAGAGGTAGTCACTTACCCAGTTCCTGAGCCTAAGCAACCATCGTGCTCTAATCACAATCTCATACACATTTTGTCTGAAAAAATAAAATACAGCGATGGTATAAGGAACCCACAAACAGCTTAGCGTATGCTCTACTGCGAACGACAAGGATTCATTTTATTCAAACACTGTACAGAGAGTTTCAGAAGATCTTCAGTCTGTCTTCAAAAATTCATTCAATCATAGTACTACCCACCTAAGGGAAAAAAAGATGCCTTATAACGAAAACATCTTAATTTGAAGAAACACGATTAATTTCCCAATGTTGGTATAAGATACATCAATTAAGTTTTAGGCAATATAAAAAAAATCTAAACTATGATAGTGCTTCAGTCCAATTATTTATAGCTAGAAGAAAAATAAACCAAATGTATCAAAGGTTTAAGACACATCACTTCTGAAGTATAGTTTTGAAGACATGCTCATGATCTACAGTCTTGTCAAGAGAATATTCTACGGCAATAGTTTAACCATTTGAATACTATTTTACAGATTCCCTCTTGGCGCCACAGAAGCGGGTGTAGGATGAATTTCAATAGCATCTAACACAGGCTTTATTGTACTTGCTTCACACTTATTTTTTTTTAGAACAGTGCCTGGAATCTTTTTTCTGCTTGAAAATAGGCGAATTCAAGAAACACAAATCTGTAAAAGGGTCCCCTCTTCTCAGTTTCCTGTAAGAGTAAAGAGAACTCTTAAGCATAATTGTAAGCATCCCAATACTAACTTACTCTTCAGTTTAAGTTTACTGTAGATCATGCCACTGTTAATATTCTCACTTCAGTTTTTCATCAAAATGGTGTATTTCAAATGAGGCTCACCCTTTAATAAAGCTCTATAACCTTACTCTCCCAGGCATGTCATTAAAAGTGAGTTCCCACAAGCCAAATACTTACGAAGCAAGCGTGGGTTCCTTATAGTTCACGATGGCGGCTGTGCACCTGCGTTTACGTAAAGACACTGGTGGGCTTTCTACATTCTTTTTTGGAGAAAGAGAAAGCTTTCTGGTTTTCATCACAGGATACAAAGGGACATTCGTGATATCCTTCAGGCTAAAATGAGGTGACTGGTGAGTTTCAAGTAGTGCACCTACAAAAACAAGTTTTATTGAGTACAGTTCCAAAAAACAGACAAACACAGGGACTGAAATTATGCAATTACACACCTTACATGCATCCAAAATCTGCAGAGGAAGGAAAACTCCCAAACTCATTCTACAAGGCCATCCTCACCCTGACACCAAAATTGGACAAAGATACCATAAAAAAAGAAAATTACAGGCCAATATCCCTGATGAACATAGAAGCAAAAATCCTCAACAAAATTCTCGCAAACAGGACCCAACAACACACTGAAAGGATCAGGGCTCCCCTGGCGGCGCCTGTAACGCAGGACACGCAGGTTCAGCCCCTGGGTGGGGAAGAGCCCCTGGAGGAGGCAATGGCAGCCCATTTATGATGAAAAGAAAAGCTCCTCAAAAAGCAGGCTTAGAAGGAACATACCTCAACATCATAAAGGCCATATACAACAAACCCACAACATACATTATTCTCAACAGTGAGAAACTGAAAGCATTTCCTCGAATATCAGGAACGAGACAGACTGCCCACTCTTGCCATGATTATTCAACATACTTTTGGAAGTTCTGGCCACAGCAATCAGAGAGGAAAAAGAAATAAAAGAAATCCAAATCAGAAAAGAAGTAAAACTCTATTTGCAGTGAGATGATACTATACATAGAAAACCCTAAAGAATCCACCAGAAAATTACTAGAGCTAATCAATGAATATAGAAAGTTTCAGGGTAAAAACTAGCACAGAAATCCCTTACATTCATGCACACTAACAATGAAAAATCAGAAAGAGAAATTAAGGAAACAATTCCATTCACCATTGCAACAAAAAGAATACCAAGGAATAAACCTATCTAAGGAGACAAAAGACCTGTATGCAAAAAACTATAAAACACTGATGAATGAAATCAAAGATGACACAAACAGATGAGATATATACCATGTTCTTGGATTAGAAGAAGAATATTGTGAAAAATGACTATACTACCCAAAGTAATCTACAGATTCAATGCAATCCCTAATCAAACTACCAGTTGTATTTTTCACAGAACTAGAACAAAAAATTTCACAATTTATATGGAAACACAAAAGTCCCCAAATAGCCAAAGCGATCTTGAGAAAGAAGAATGGGGCTGGAGGAAACAACCTTCCTGACTTCAGACTCTACTACAAAACCAGTCATCAAGCCCATATGTTACTGGCACAAAAGAAGAAATGTAAATCAATGGAACAAGACAGAAAGCCCACAGACAAACCTACGCACCTATGGGTACCTTTTTTTTGACAAAGGAGGCAAGAATACACAATAGAGAAAAGACAGCCTCTTCAATAAGTGGTGCTGGGAAAACTGGACAGCTACATATAAAAGAATGAAACTAGAACACTTTCTAATACCATCTGTCCATGGGATTCTCCAGGCAAGAATACTGGATTGCCATTTCCTTCTCCACAGGCTCTCCCTGACATAGGGATCAAACCCAGGTCTCTCGCACTGCAGGCAGATTCTTTTGTCTGAGCCACCATACACAAAAAATAAGCTCAAAATAGATTAAAGATTTAAACATAAAGCCACAAACTATGACGCTCTTAGAGGAAAATATAGGCAGTACACTCATTGACACACATCACAGCAAGATCCTCTTTGACCCACCTCCTAGAGTAATGGGAATAAAAACAAAAGTAAACAAATGGGACTTAATAAAACTTAAAAGTTTTTGCACAGCAAAGTGAGTCACTCAGTTGTGTCCAACTCTTTGTGACCCCATGGAGTTCTCCAGGCCAGAACACTGGAGTGGGTAACCATTCCCTTCTCTAGGGCATCTTCCCAACCCAGGGATCAAACCCAGGTCTCCCGCATTGCAGGCAGATTCACCAGCTGAGCCACCAGGGGAGCCCAAGAATACTGGAGCGGGTAGCCTACCCCCTTCTCCAGCAGATCTTCCCGACCCAGGAATCAAACCAGGGTTGCCTGCATTGCAGGCAGATTCCTTACCAGCTGAGCTACCAGGGAAGCCCAAGAATCCTGGAACAGGTAGCCTACCCCCTTCTCCAGCAGATCTTCCCGACCCAGGAATCAAACCAGGGTTGCCTGCATTGCAGGCAGATTCCTTACCAGCTGAGCTACCAGGGAAGCCCTCCAAAGGGCATAGCAATGGAAATGATAAACAAGATTAAAAGACAACCCTCAGAATGAGAAAAAATAATTGCAAACAAAACTGACAAAGGATTAATCTGCAAAATATACAAGCAGCTCACACAGGTCAATACCGGGATTAATCTGCAAAATATACAAGCAGCTCACACAGCTCAATACCGGAAAAACAAACAGAAGACCTAAACAGACTTTTCTCTAAAGACAACATAAACTGATGGCCAACACACACTTGAAAAGATGCTCGACATTGCTCATTATTAGAGAAATGCAAATCAAAACTACAATGCGGTATCACCTGACACCAGTCAGAATGGTCATCATTAAAAAATCTACAACCAGTAAATTCTGCAGAGATGTGGAGAAAAGGGAACCCTCTTGCACTGTTGGGAATGTAAATTGATACAGCCACATAGAAAGAACAGTATGGAGTTTGCTTAAAAAACTAGGAACAGAACTACCATGTGATCCAGCAATCCCACTACTGGGCTATACCCTGAGAAAACCATAATTGGGAAAGAGGTACATGTACCCCAATGTTCACTGCAGCACTTTTTACAACAGCTGGGACATGGAAGCAGCTTAGATGTTCATTAATAGATGAATGGATACAGAAATTGTGGTACATATATACCATTGAAAGTTACTCAGCCTTAAAATAGGACACATTTGAGTCAGTTTTAGTGAAGTGGTTGAACTTAGAGCCTACTGTACAAAGTGAATTAAGAAAGACAAATTTTGTATATTGACACATGTGTATAGAATCTAGAAAGGTGGTACTGATGAACCTATCTGTGGGGCAGTGATGGAGACAGACCTGGAGAACAGACTAGTGGACAGTGTGGGAGGAGCTGAGAGATCAGCATGGAAACGTACATCACCACATGTAAACAGAGAGCCCGTGCGGATTTGCTGTGTGACACAGGGAGCTCGACCCAGCGCTCTGCGGCAACCCGGGGGTGGGATGGGCTGAGAGGTATGCACGCGGTTCAAGAAGGGGAACGTGTACACCTGCGGATGATTCATGCTGATGTATGGCAGAAACCAGTACAATATTGTAAAGCAAGCATCTTTCAATAAAAAAAATTTAAGTACACAGAATCCAGCATTTTATAATATAGGTTTTTAAAAACTTGTTCATCTTTTCCTCTCAGCATAACAATGAAATAATTATTGTGGCTGTGAAGAATTTACTAAAACAATAGCTTACTAAAACTTAAAATTCTTAAAAATTTAAAGAAAAAAATGAAAATTCTTCCATGATAGCTGGGGCACAATGAATTAGTTTCAACTATGCAACTTCACTTAGTCACACCTTGTTCTTTAGAATTATCCAGGTCTCTATCTCTTTCAATTCCAAAGGTTATTATCAACTGATTTCTTACAGTCTCAGAAAGCCACGTAAGTGCATTCTATTCTACACACGGTGTTAACAGAAAAACCCAAGTGAACTTTTTGGCCAACCAAATACTAAATAAAATAGAATTCTAAGTCATAGTCTCTATGTAAACCAGGAGAAACAGGGTTCCCTCTAGTAAAGCTTCCCAGCTGGTGCTAGTAGCAAAGAACCCACCGGCCAAGGTAGGAGATGTGGGTTCGATCCCTGGGTATCCCCTGGAGGAGGAATTGGCAACCCACTCCAGTATTCCTGCCTGGAGAATCCCAAGGACAGGGGAGACTGGCAGGCTACAGTCCGTGGGGCCACAGAGTCGAACATGACTGAGCATGCACGTGTGCTAATCAAGCTGGTAGATTAAAAAGTTACCCAAAGAGTTTGCCATCAGAAACATCCAAGTTATTCTACCTGGAGCTACATCTATATTGGGAGACAGGTACCCAGCACACAGTAAGAACACTACAAGGCAAATAATCTCTTAAAATTGCTTCAAAAAGCAAACTCTTTCCCAGGAAAAACTAAACTTAAGCTGTAAAATGATTTTATGTTTAATAACCACTGTTCAGGGCTACCTGGGTTTCAGATATTCTGTCTTTCTTGTCCCTACATAAACAAATTGTACTATACTAATTATTCCAACTTTTGGTTTGGAAACTACGGTTAAACAACATCAGGATCAGTTGCTATGTTCTGGAATAAAGCTTCTAAAACTTTTACCCATATACCAATCTTCCAGGAAATTTGTTAAAAAGAGAGATTATGATTCAAGGATGTGGGGTATGGCATGAGGTTCTGCTTTTCTAAGAAGTTTCCAGGTGATGCTGAAGGTCTGGGGACCAAATTCCGAGTAACACTAGTGTTTTTTTCCTTTAAAAACTTATGAAAATTTAAGTACACAAGGATGGAGACAACAGTATGAGCCCCCATTTACTCAGCTTCAATAATTATCAAAATTTGGCCCATCTTGTTTGATTTACTCTAAAATCATTACAGCATACTTCTTAAAAGAGATATTTGCATGCTACCAATGGGGAAACAGTGGCTGATTTTATTTTTTGGGACTCCAAATTCACTGCAGATGGTGACTGTAGTCATGAAATTAAAAGACGCGTACTTCTTGGAAGAAAAGTTATGAGCAACCTAGACAGCATATTAAAAAGCAGAGACATTACTTTGCCAACAAAGGTCCGGATGGTCAAGGCTATTGTTTTTTCCAGTAGTCATGTATGGATGTGAGAGTTGGGACTGTAAAGAAAGCTGAGCGCCGAAGAATTGATGCTTTTGAACTGTGGTGTTGTAGAAGACTGTTGAGAGTCCCTTGGACTGCAAGGACATCCAACCAGTCCATCCTAAAGAAAATCAACCCTGAATCTTCATTGGAAGGACTGACGCTGAAGCTGAAGCTCCAATACTTTGGCCACCTGATGCGAAGAACTGACTCACTGGAAAAGACCCTGATGCTGGGAAAGATTGAAGGTGGGAGGAGAAGGGAGCAACAAAGGATGAGATGGTTGGATGGCATCACAGACTCAATGGACATGAGTTTGAGTAAACTCTGGGAGTTGGTGATGGACAGGGAGGCTTGGGTGCTGCCGTCTATGGGTTCGCAAAGAGTTGGACACCACTGAGCGACTGAACTGAACTGAATCCCCTAACTGGGCTTCCCTGGTGGCTGAGCTGGTAAAGAATCTGCCTGCAATGCGGGAGACCTGGGTTCGATCCCTGGGTTGGGAAGATCCCCTGGAGAAGGGAACAGCTAACCACTCCAGTATTCTGGCCTGGAGAACTCCATGGACTGTATAGCCCATGGGGTCACAAAGAGTCAGACACGACTGAGCGACTTTTCACTTTTCACCACCTAACTAGGGGCTTCCTTGGTGGCTCAGACAGTAAAGAATCCGCCTGCAATGCAGGAGACCTGGGTTCGATCCCTCCATAGGGAAGATCCCTTGGAGAAGGGAATGGCAACCCACTCTAGTATTCTTGCCTGGAGAATCCCATGGATAGAGGAGTCTGGTGGGCTACAATTCATAGGGTCACAAAGAGTCAGATACAATTGACTAACACCATCATAACAACCATAACAGTGCTGTTACGGGGATCAAATGAGCTAGCACAACAGCATTTTGAGAATGATAAAACTTGCCTGTTTATGTTCGCACACTAACTATTTAACACAATTCCCAGATAAGAATCTTTGTGGGCGGCAGCAGGCTGCATTATCGATATCTGGGCTACTTTCTGATCTAACCAATAAAAGCAAGGTTTTCTAAGCCACAGTTTTTAGATGTTTTACACATGTCTTATAAAATACTACTAAGGAATTGAGGAAAAGGTTTTCTTGGTCTTATTAGGCCACCTTCACTAAATAGAAAATTATTTTAAATTCTGGATCCTGTCAAGTTGACGATAAAGCAAAGTCATTAAAATTACAGGTCGCTGGATTTAAGTTCGATTTCATTTTCAGGGGGATGTTTCGGGGGAGTGCATAATAGGAATTTTAATTCAACCTAACTCCACAACTTTCCTCGCTTTGGAAGGTTTCATTTACTGAAAGTAAAAACACCCTCTCCATGACAAGTACTATTTGTTCTTCAAGAGGATTTAAATTAGCTTAAAGTATGTCAAAGCAACACACTGTGGTTTCCATCTCCAGTCCCCCACTATTTAATTTTCCCCAAAGAGACAGATGGTAAGTCTATAACCTCCTCCAGAGAAGCAGATGGTAAATGCTAGTATATAAGCACCAGGCATGACCATTTATCATAAACAATAAGAATGCAGGCAAACAAGTGAATCACTTACCAGGAGGAGCTTCCCTTGTCTCAGAGCCCTCTGTCTCCTTTCCGCCCCTATGTCTCAGTGCTCGCTTAGGTCGAGGCCTGGGGACAGGACTCCTAGTTGATTCACTGCTGAGATCTGGACTGGACTTGCACGTGGGAACATAGAGGTCATCAGAATCATCTCCTGAACAGCTTGATTCACAGATGCTCACTTCAGATTCATCGTTGGTTTCTTCTCTTTTAGCATCATTGCACACTTTTTGCCGAAAAGGAGTGAGGTGAACACCTTCTTCCAAATTAAAATTGTAAGCATCACAGGAGGTGACAACTTCATTCAACTTTTTTTTGGAAACAGTTTTATTTTCACTTTTGCTCCCTTTATACTTTGATACAGATTTTGATTTTCCCCTTTTGTTAGCTTTCTCTTTTCCTTTTCTTTCTTTGGCACCTCTGTGCTTAGTTTGTTGTGATTTATAGTCATAAACGTCTTTCTTTGTTTTAGTAGCTCGTCCTGGGTGAATCAGCCTTGGTGATGAGTAAATTTGACTCCTGTTGTACCGACAAACACTTTGTTCTATATTTTCAGGTATCCATGTGCTTATAGGTGGGTCTGCAAATCTAATCCTTTCTAGTTCCAAAGAGTCCTCTGACAAATGACTGATTCCAAAATCATCCACAGCAGTAATCTGACATGGACTGTTAATGTATTTCTTTAAACCACGACGGAGAGATATAGTTCTAGGTAAGACAATATCGGTTGACTTATCTTCACTTGAATCCAAATCAAATCTCGGTCTGTCTTGAGAAATAGTAGGTATTGGCTCTGAGAATTAAAAAAATAAAATAAATGAGAAAAACAGGTTCACTTTATGGAAATTTAAATTAAGAATCTTAGAATTCAAAGTTAAAAATGGAACTAATGAAAATTCTTCCTGTAGTTTTCCATTTACTCTAAATAAATAAAAATCTGGGGAGCTTACTATTTGTTTCCTCTTGACTGTCTGTCGCTATGTATCCCAAGGTTGTAGCGAGGGTTAAGTAAGATGATGTATGTTAAGTGCCTAACGGAGTGTAACACATAGGCTCAGTAAACTGCAGCCACAGCTGTAACCAAGGGTTTTGACTACAGATTTGGAAAAATAAAAATGGGTGGATTTTAAAACTCTTTCATTATTCTGTATAAAATAAACAGATATTTGCTTTGAGCAGAATACCAGATGAGCGGATTTTAAAAAGTAAAAAAACAAAAATTAGAGAAATTTAATTGCTACTTGTTCTCAAAGATCTCATCATGCCTTAATAGTATTTTTAGATTTTCATTTGAATTACCTTCTACTTGGAATGATTCTTCTTGTCCTGGACAGTCAGCATCCTCAAGAACTTGCCTTAGAAAGTACCAATAAAAAATAAAAAACTTAACAGTTATGCAATAAAAGCATTTAAGATTTTCTACAAAGATTTTTTTCTTTTAGTAACATTTCATAATTCCATTCTAAATCAGTATATCTGTTCTGTATCAAAGGAAACCAAAAACACTTATGATGATGACATGGAAGCAGACTTGTTATGACTGATATTTGGCTCCCCCTAGGAGGTACACCTCAAATTGAACAGTTCCTCCTGAACACTTTCCCTAACTCATCATTTTATTTAACTGGAGAAACAGCCAATCAGATTAATGTATAAACTACATTAAAAGAAATTCAGTTAGATTCCTCTTCCAAAGACTACTGTATAATTAGCCAAGCTGTGATTTTCTTTGGTATAACATACTTTTGTGGCATTTACCTACTGACTCCTCTGAATTAACACTGTTCCTTTTCTTTAAAAATTTTTTCCCTTTGGTTCATGGAATAAGAAATTTCCATTCCTATGCTTTAATATGGCCATTTCATTCTAATTTTATTTTTTTTCTATATAGAATTTACCTCTCTAGACATAAAAACTTAAGTACTAGTTGTGGAAACAATAATAGCAACCAATTAATAACAATTTTAGAAATCTTATAAAAACTCAATTATCTCATTTTACTTTTTGGCCATCACATAAACATTGCATCAGATCTTAATATTCAACAGTTTAAAAACTATTCATGATTAAAATTAATAGGGGGATAGAAATCATATGAGTGACTACTTCTGCAAGGAGAGGGGCACAACCTCAGAAGGGCCATGGAGGGATGGTTCACGACAGGAGCTCTCGCCTGGGGACAGTTACCCTGCCCTCTCTCCCTGGGCCCCCACAACACCTGGCAATGTCCAGACACACCTTTCGTTCTTACAACTATGAGAGGGGGCTGCTATTGGCATTTGGCGGGTAGAGGCCGAGGACGCTGCTAAATGCCCCACGGTGCTTAGGACCACGTCCACAACAAAGAATGATCCAGGCCAAACCGTCAGCAGTGCTCAGCTGAGATCCTGGCCAGAGCAATGGCGATACTCTGCACTTTAACCCAGGTTTCGGTTCACAGGTGTATATATTAGTCCAACTCACTGCACTCTATAATTAAGATCTGTGCATTTGACTAATCTAATTTTATTTCAGTAATTCATAAGCAAACAAAGTACCCTTAATTCAAGAGAAGGCGTATATGAGGTCTGATGGTATTTCAGAATGAACTGGATAAGCGAGTCAGTGTGACAATTTGTTAAATATGGTAGTTTATTACATTTCTTTTCTAAACCAGACTATTTGTGTTACTGGCAAAATAACCAACATTCAAATATCCAATTCTAAGAATGAAAACACGATACAAGAAAAACACAAATGAAGCTTCAAGAGAAGCTTCTTGTCCGTAGACATAAAAAAGTAACTAAATAGAAGAAAGCTTTGGTGTAGCTATATAGGACAGAATTTCAACACATCAAATTTTCTTAAATACATTCTTGAGAGAGTATCAGACTTCAAATACAAGTCAGTATGATGCTAATTTCCTTTCACAAATGGATCACAGTTAAATATTTATTGATATTAATAATAATGAATTTGATACTAACGGTAAATGCTTCACAAACAAGTCTCTGGAGTTGTTGTCACTATTGGAGTCCGTTCCACTTCTGGAGTCCATTCCAGAGGGACTTAATTCTAGGTTCTGTTAATGTATTAAAACAAAGGAAACACTGGTACAACCAAAATATCCACAACAAAGCATTCATTTATTCAACAACAGATACTTATTGACAGTCTGCTGTGATGCCAGCGACTGTTCTAGGAACTGAATACATAACTAGAAAACAGAATGAGTACTACCCTCTTAAAGCCTACAATCTAGCATAGGGAGAGAAAATGTACAAAAGCTAGTAGTCATAAATGCAATGGAGGAAATATTTACTCAGGGTGAAATGGCAGAGTAACTGATGTCTGGAGGGCTCTTTTAGATGGGATGACTTTCATCTGAAATCTGAAGAAATGCAAAGAGCCAGTCACTTGAAGGAGAAGCACTGGTAACAGAAAATACAAACTTCATGATGTAGGAAAACCCTTGCTGTGTTCAGGAAAGAAGGCCACTGGGGCTGGAACACAGTCACAGAACAGACCAGGAGGAGGTGGGCACACAGAGGCCAGATGATGCAGGGCCTTGAGGGCCATGAGTTTGGCATTTAGTCTAAGTGTGATGAGAAGTCATTTAAATATTAAGCAGGGAAGTAAAATGATCTAAGTTTTAAAAAGATCAATCAGACCACTATGTGAAACATGGACTGAAAAGAGCCAAAGGCACAGGCAGCTAGGAAGTCATCACGTCAATCAAGCAAGACATGTCCACTTGGACTGAATCCTACAGCTGTGACGGTTTAGCCTAGAAGGTTTTGGGCTAACAAACTGTGCTCACATTGAATAGGGGTGGAGGTAGGGACAATGAGTGAGAGGGAAGCTTCTCGAGGTTCTGACTTGAGCAAGCACCTGGGCTGCCTGATTGAGCTGAGCAAGACTTACAGAGGGAGGCAGAAGTCCACAGTATCTTTGGGAGGGGGAAAAAGTAGAGTTTATACTTTGTACAAAGTATGTTTGAGATGCTTTATAAATACTTAAGTGAATATATCAAGTAATAACTGTGTGTGTGTGTAGATCTTGAGCTACAAACTTGGAAGTCACCAGCAGGAAGACAATATTTAAAGCTATGGAAGGGATACGATGGGTCTAGGACAACTGATGTTTAGGAGTATAAGAAAGAAGCCAGGAAAAGAGATGTACATGGAACAGTCAGGAAGGTAAACAAGGAGATTATGATGGTAAGAAAGCTGAGATCAAAGTACTTCCAGCAAAGCCATCCCTGTACCATAGTAGTACTTCAAAGCCAACAAAGAAAGAAAAGTGACCAAAGTTACTGACTTTGGTAACAAAGAGGTTTTGGTGACCCAGATATACAGTGACAACAGAATGGTGGGGATGAAAGTCTGACATAAGAGTTCAAATGTGAATGGAAGCTGAGGAAGGGAAGACAGTAAGTGCTCTATTCTCTTTGGAAAAGTTCTCCTATGAATGGAAGCAGAGAAATGAGAGAGCAAAATGAGATCAGAAGAGGTTCCATTTATTTTCTTTTCCTCTTAAGGTGAGAGAGATACTAAAGCACATTTGTACATAACTGGAACAACTGGGTAGAGGGAGATAATTTGCACTTTCATCCAGTATTTTTTAGGAGCAAAGTCCTAGAGAAGAAGAAAAGAGGAGAATCGGATCACACGGGGAGGGACTGGCCTTGGATAGGAGCAGACACTTCAGCCAATGGCACCAGAAGGAAAAGGAGAGAAAGTGTAGACCCAGGCAGATGTGTATAAATAGATGTATTTCAGGGAAACAAGAGGCCCAGTCTGATTCCTTAAAAGTCATTCCAATTCAGTGCAGTTGTTTTATGAAATTTGATGGACAAACAATATACAGACATTATAATGAATAGGTTGAAACTGTTCATCAGAAATAAAACTGGAAATTTAATCCTGTTAATAGAAGCTTTAAGTTGATTATCAATACAGCTAATATTCTAAAGCTAGTATTACTGAAGGTAAATAAAAGAGGATATTTAACTACAGAGAGATATAAAATTTTACAAGATCCATAATAAAACGTAAGAAACGCTATTAGTACTGATTAATCCTTAAAAGGCAAGATAATTATTGATAGGCAAGAAATAAAAACATTCTTATTAAAGCATTTTAAGCTTCTCTATCACTACAAATTGACTTCATAAACAAGGATGCACAAGTACCCAATGATGGTTGAGAGCAAGTGACACATAAAATATGTGGCAGAAAACAAACTTTGATGTTTTAAATGTTAAGAATACTTTCGTCTAGCAACTAATGCTATCTTTTAATACTAAAAAATCATTGATAAATGTCAAAAGGTCTATAATAAAAGAATTTTTCCACCAGTTTTTGTGATTATCTTATTAAATATTCACTTGACACTATTCTGTGTGATTTCAGCAAAAATCTGAAAAGGGAAGAGGAAGAGTCAAATGTCTTTGGAGAAATGTTTTTACTCACTAGTTGACCAAACAAGAAAAAAAATTAGCAAAGATTACATTTTCAGGGAAAAAAGTGTGTGTTTGTTTTTTTTTAAATAATCTAACCCTTACACGAAGGTTAAAAAGAAAAAAAAAATCTAATCTTTATAGATAATTCTCTATCACACTACAATGCATATATTGCATGTATGTATATATACACATACATTCTATGTATTATACACAGAAGAGATGTGGAATCACCTTAGTTGCAGGGAAGCAAAAACTCTTTCACTGACCCCTCCTCTAGATGGAGAGAGGACTCAATTCCTTTCTTGAGTCCACCCCCTACCCTGAGCACTACGCTCTGGCTTCTGCTGCTGCCCTAGGTGCCAACACAGCTGTCTTCACTGGTGTGGCAGGCAGATGGACTCCGAAGTGTTACCACCGGACTTCTCTCTCTGCCCCATGGAGTTTCCTGGGCAGTGGCCTTTGGGAAAATGAGAGGAGAAACTAGCTCATTACTACTCTTCTAAGATCCTAAACCAAACTTTCTCCATGTGTTGTTTTGGCTGGCCTTTCTATACACCCCTGGACACAAACAGAATCAGATTAAAAAGCTGACAGCAAAATGTTCAAGATATTCCTTGTTTGGCAGTTAATGCAGGGCTGTCCTGAGGAAATTGGTCCTGAATATTCATTGGAAGGACTGATGCTGAAGCTGAAACTCCCATACTCTGGCCACCTGATGGGAAGAACTGACTCATTTGAAAAGACCCTGATGCTGGGAAAGATTGAAGGCGGGAGGAGAAGGGGATGACAGAGGATGAGATGGTTGGATGGCATCACTGACTCAATGGACATGGGTTTGGGTAGACTCTGGCAGTTGGTGATGGACAGGGAGGCCTGGTGTGCTGTGGTTCATGGGGTCGCAAAGAGTTGCACATGACTGAGCGACTGAACTGAACTGTCCTAACTTAGCCAACTAGTAGGTAAAAATGATTCTCCATAAAGCACTTAACTACTTTTCATCTCCCCAGTTAAGGCAGTTCTTACATAACCCCACGGGTGTAGCAAAACGACATAGAAAAGCTAAGATTAACAGCACTGATTAAAACTTCTGGACTACTCGGCTTCCACTACCACTTCCAGACCTTCAGCTTACTTGCCCTCCCTTTGATTCACTTTGCTGACCATTCAAAGAGTCTGGCCATCAAAGGAATAATCTCAAAAATATACAAGCAACTCCTCCAGCTCAACTCCAGAAAAATAAATGACCCAATCAAAAAATGGGCCAAAGAACTAAACACACAGTTCTCCAAGGAAGACATACAGATGGCAAAAAAACACATGAAAAGATGCTCAACATCACTCATTATCAGAGAAATGCAAATCAAAACCACAATGAGGTACCATTACACACCAGTCAGGATGGCTGCTATCCAAAAGTCTACAAGCAATAAATGCTGGAGAGGGTGTGGAGAAAAGGGAACCCTCTTACACTGTTGGTGGGAATGCAAACTAGTACAGCCACTACGGAAAACAGTGTGGAGATTTCTTAAAAAGCTGGAAATAGAACTGCCATATGACCTAGCAATCCCACTTCTGGGCATACACACCGAGGAAACCAGATCTGAAAGAGACACATGCACCCCAATGTTCATCGCAGCACTGTTTATAATAGCCAGGACATGGAAGCAACCTAGATGCCCATCAGCAGACGAATGGATGAGGAAGCTGTGGTACATATACACCATGGAATATTACTCAGCCATTAAAAAGAATTCATTTGAATCAGTTCTAATGAGATGGATGAAACTGGAGCCCATTATACAGAGTGAAGTAAGCCAGAAAGATAAAGACCATTACAGTATACTAACACATACATACGGAATTTAGAAAGATGGTAACGATAACCCTATATGCAAAACAGAAAAAGAGACTCAGATGTACAGAACAGACTTTTGGACTCTGTGGGAGGTGAGGGTGGGATGTTTCAAGAGAACAGCATCGAAACATGTATATTATCTAGGGTGAAACAGATCACCAGCCCAGGTTGGATGCATGAGACAAATGCTCGGACCTGGTGCACTGGGAAGACCCAGAGGGATCGGGTGGAGAGGGAGGTGGGAGGGGGGACCGGGATGGGGAATACATGTAAATCCATGGCTAATTCATTTCAATGTATGACAAAAACCACTGCAATGTTGTAATTAGCCTCCAACTAATAAAAATAAATGGAAAAAAAAAAAAAAAGAGTCTGGCCATGCAAGAGGCTAAACTATTTATTTTATACCTTGTCTTGCTACACTCTTTTGGAAGCAAGTTATAGGAGTGTCACCAGTATGCTTGAAGCATTCTTAACTGGCCACACACAACTATGGGGCTAAAGCACTGAGAAAAGACATTCTGATCAATTCACTAATAACAGAGCTATCAGTATAATTAATTTAAAAAACACAATTGATTTAAATTGCTAATTTAAGTCTTTAACATTTTCTTCCTAAGAAATCCAGCCTTCCCGATGAAAATACCTGAGCAGGTTCTTCTGTCTGTTGTGACGTAAGTTTATTTTTCAGTGTGTATAACTGATAGCTGAGGAAGTAACATTCTCTCCTCAGTTTTAAGATGACATCGTGGGCTTCTTTCAATTTGGACTTTTCATTTTCCAAAGCTAAGGCTAACATTCTGTTGTTGTCTTCATAGTTTAGCACTTTGGAAGTGTTGGCTAAAAGAAAATAAAATTTTTTTTTATCAGTAATTAAATCTAACCTTAAAGTGATGTACAGGAAACATGAAAATCTCTTACTGGTTGTTTGGCATGGTGCAATGATCAAAGACTTTCGTTTAATCTCTGTCAAATTTTTACTCCTTTTCTCTTTTATTTGTTTCTTTATGTCTTCAAGACTATCTTGAAAAGACTTTTTGAGGCATCTTTCCTTGGCCATCTTCTGCCCTAGGACTTTAAAAATAATAGAGATCATTTAATTTTTGAAGGGGTTGTATCAAATATAAAACAAAATTGAAAACATAGGTTGTCCATAAAAAATGATTAGAGGCTTTGTAACTGTAGAATCAGCCCAAAGTAGATAATCTGGTAATAATCTACTTTTTGTAGCTTTTAAATTACATTAATATTTGTGGCATAATTTTATCCTCCTCAGGTACTTTATAGGAAAGGTTTAATCAATAAGATTTCCAACCCAAAGACTCTGTAATATGCCGCTTATTAATTCTGTAACAAATACTGGGGGCTTACTATATACTAGGCACTATGATGGCATCAGTATTTTGCTACTAAATACAGACTACTTTGCATGAACACCTTTTGCCCTACATTGTACTCTGCAGATCTTAAAACTACAAAAAAAATTCTAGTTTCCTATGGCAATCTATATATATAAGTTTTCACTACAAAACACATCTTCATCTCCTCTGAGTTTGTCAAATATTTTCCAGAACCTTACATTTTCTTGAGTATTTTCTCCAGGCCTTCCTTATTTTCCTCTGGGTTCTTAAATACAGATACTGTAGATTTCATTTAAACATTTTCTTTCTGCCAATACAGATACAATATATACTGGCATGTCTCCAGGACAGCCAGGACAACTACTATTTTTAAAACGCTGACATTAAGCGGGATGTATAAAACACCCTACCTACCACAAGGAAGTTTCTTTAGTTCAAACCTGGATATGTTTGTGAGCCAGACAAATCAGGTAACTAAGCAAGTTGGCTTAGTTACTTTAAAAGCACAGTCTATCTTAAAAACTTTCGTTCGTACATTAAGTCAACTTAAAGTTAAAAAGGAGATGAGCCCCGTCAGAAGTTTCCTTCCCGCCTGGGCCGACGGTCTTAAGAGGGGGTGTGGCGGCCAGCAGGGCTGGAGAAGAAGTCAAGACAGGGCCGCACTGGACTCGGGTTAGGGGTCTGGATTCCAAAGAACCAGGGCGGGAGCTCTCCACCCTCACCCTGCGTCGCCTCTGCCGCTGGGCGGCCGGGAGGACCAGCCAATGCGGCTTCTCCAGAGTGAGAAGCGGCCAAAGCGAAGGACGCCACCTGCTCAGGCTGCCGGCCTGCGTGCCCTTCTGCTCGAGCCTCGGTTTCGAGTCCCGCGAGCGCTTCACTTCCCGGTTTCCGCGCGGCGGGAGGCTCAGTCCCCACTGAACGGACGAGGAACTCGGAGAAGGGCGACGGGCGGGCCGGGCCCAGGCCCGAGCTTCTGGCCGCCGAACTTAGGACCGGGAGACCCCGCGGCTGGGGGCGCGGCACGAAGCCCCTGGGCCCGGAAAGCCGCGGCCCCCTCCCCGGAGAAGGCGAGCCGGGGCGGGCGGGCGTGAGGCCCGCAGACCCGCCTCTCGCGGGACGTCCGGAACGGTACCTGGGCCACGGTTTCCGCCGCAGCTGTCGCTCTGCTCACACCAGGCTCCGCGGGAAGATCCGGGCACGCGCGCCGGGACCTCCGGGACCCCAGCCTAGGACCCCAGATCGCGCCGCCGTCCGCGTTCAAACTCTCAGTCGAGCGCGCCCATTGGCTGGCGGTCACGTGACGCGGCGGGCCGCCCCCGGCGTAAGCGAAGCCCCGCCCCTAAGGGCGGTGTCCCCAGACGCGATCTCACGTGGACTGCGCCTTCGCGCGGCCGCGGCCGTTTCCCGCGGGGCGGAGTCAGTGGTCCGGCGCTTTTCGGCCACCCGCTGTGGGGTTTAGGGGCGGAGCCACCATGACACCTTGAGGGGCGGGGACTTTAGGGAGTGAAAAGCTTCCGGTTTACTGGGCCCACCGCCCATCTTCGAGGTCGTGCGCAAGGGCTCCCTCTGGCGAGAAGAGTCTTCTTGATGGTTTGCCGGCTGAAGCAGTCAGCCCACTGCATGGAGGCCGTTAAAGGGGTGGGGTTTTGCAGGCCTGAATACTGGAGTGGGTAGGTCGTTCCTTTCTCTAAGGGTCTTCCTGACGCAGGGCCCTCGCATTGCAGGCAGATTCCTTGCCTCTAAGCCACCAGGGAAGCTTCAGTTAAAGAGATATGCAAGCCGAAACAGAGAGGAGCTTTTGGAGTAACTGGATGGATTTTGTTAGGGAGGTTGCAGACCTCTGAAATATTCAGGCCCAGGTTCTTTTTCTTTGCCCCTCAGAAAATGGCAATAGCATCTGTTGAGTTACTTGCCCAGAAGCCTGGGAAAATCTTCCTGATTATTTATCATTCCTTAGCTTTTCCGTGTCCTATTGGTTACCCAGTCCTGTCAATTCTACTTTCTAAGTATTTTTTAGGTCCAAACTATTACAGCCAAACAAACCAGAAATGAGTGAAGGGCCTCTGGCACATACCAGCTAAGAGTTAAACAATGTTGCTTGTTTCTTCAGCTGTTACTACTAACAAACACTTGTAGCTGGACCCGTCCTTGACAAAGCGCATTGCTCTTTAACTCCGTGTAGATTATACTCTGCACCTGGCTTTTTTCTCCCCCTGTATTCAGTGGCTCAGTCGTGTCCGACTCTCTTGTAGCATTCTGTATTTCAGAAAGAAGGTAATGGGCCTATAACTTTAGGGATACCTGTCACAGTTGCTGAGTTGCCTGATGCTAACTGTGGTGTTTTGAAACTTTGCAAAAAAAAAAAAAAAAAGGCAGGACCTTCATGAGAATATAAAACCTCTCCCTATTCTTGAGAGAGGAGGGCACAATTCTTGAGGCGCTAGCCTTCTGCGATTCCCTTTTGCCTGCGAAAAATACTGAAGCTACTCTTTTCTGTTCCCTCGAAGCTCTGTCTCTGTATTTCTGTTTGGCTTCGGTGGACAAGGTTTTAGCAACCAAACCCTATTTTCCATCCCCTAATCCAAGCAACTACCTAATTTCTTTCTACGAATTGCACTGGTACCTGCTCTGACTGCAAACTCCATTGTTATGTTGTCAGGGTGTTTTTCTCCAAAACGCGGGCTCTGACCTTAAACAGATTTAAGCTTTCTTCATGTTAGTGTGACCTTACCACTCACATGTTAATGTCAGTGACGGCTTTGTAGCCAGTCAGCTACAAACTAGTAAGTTTAATAATTATATTACTCTAAAGAAGTGGAAATGTTAGTAACCACCCAAAAATGAACTCATTCATTCATGCTTTATGAACTGAGCTGTGACTACTGAAAGCTAAGCTTCTAATGACGTCTAGTTTGAAGACTCCTAATTCACCAGAAGAACTGATGCTTTTGAACTGTGGTGTTGGAGAAGACTCTTGAGAGTCCCTTGGACTGCAGGGAGGTCCAATCAGTCCATCCTAAGGGAGATCAGTCCTGGGTGTTCATTGGAAGGACTGATGTTGAAGCTGAAGCTCTGATACTTTGGCCACCTCATGTGAAGAGCCGACCCATTTGAAAAAACCCTGATGCTGGGAAAGGTTGAGGGCAGGAGGAGAAGGGGATGACAGAGGATGAGATGGTTGGATGGCATCACTGACTCAATCGACATGAATTTGAGTAAACTCTGGGAGTTGGTGAAGGACAGGGAGGCCTGGTGTGCTGCAGTCCATGGGGCCGCAAAAAGTCGGACACGACTGAGCAACTGAACCGAACTGAATTCCCAGTTTGTTTCTTGCTTAATGAAATATTCATATCAAGTAATGATGTCTGAATTTTCTTTTGAGAATACTTCTGTGTGCCGGTTCTATATCAGTACCTCTGTACCTGGGGCCCCAGGGGGTACTGACAGTGCTGAGAGGCCTTTCTGGTTCCTTTGGGACAGAACTTGCTTTGGACATAGAAGAGCAATGGTGTTCTATAAAATATGAATAACTGAGGAGCATTATTATTTTCTAACTGTTAGCCACTCTGAAAATGATGTCATAGAAGGAAAATGAAAGATAGGACAACTCATAGTTTTCTTTCAGTCCATCTCTATTTATTAGTAAGCTGAAGGTAAGAAAGTGTTGGTAGAATGTGCACATATAAAGAAATGTAAACAGTTTGGTCAGTCATGTGTGGCATTTCTACTCTTCTGGTAAGAATGAAATGCATACGCATGTACAAGCTGTGAAATATGAATTGTGTGATTTTGGTGACTGCAAATGCAAGTTAAATGCTCTTATATTTGCATTTAAAACTAGCATTGTACAGTACAACGATGAATGGTAACATTCATGCTGATGCTTGAAATTTTAAATTTTCCTTTACTTAGAATGACATTGTATGTCAAATGAAAATACACATTGAGAAATTGATGCAGATACTGTGGAAGAAAGGTAGAATCTTTATATACATGCTGGGGGATATACATGCCCATATACAATGAACATAGGGGTTCATTAATCTTTTTAAATTAGTGGTTTTTTTCCTTAAGAAAGTACCAGAAGTGGAATTGCATGCTTGTATGGTAGTTCTATTTTTAATTTTTTAAGCAATCTCCATACTGTTTTCCATAGTGTCTGCACCAATTTACTTTCCCACCAACAGTGTCAGAGGGGTTCCCCTTCCTCCACATTCTCACTAGCACTTGTTATTTGTTCTCTTTTTGATGAGAGTCGCTCTGACAGGTGCAAGGTGCTATCTCATTGTGGTTTTGATCTGTTATTTCCCTGATGATTAGTAGTGTTGATCATCTTGTCATATGTCTGTTGGACATATGTATGTCTTCTTTGGGAAAATGTCTATTCAGGTCTTCTGCCCATTTTTTAATTAGGTTATTTTTTTTTAAAATATTGAGTTGTCTGGGTTCTTTGTATGTTTTAGATATTTACTCCTGATCAGATATGTCCTTTGCAAATATCTTCTCTCATTCAGCTGTTGTTCAGTCACTAAGTCGTGTCCGACTCTTTGCTACCTCATGGACTGCAGTACTCCAGGATTCCCTGTCCTTCAGTGTCTCCTAGAGATTGCTGAAACTCATGTCCATTGAGTTGATGATGCCATCCAACCATCTCATCCTCTGTCGCACCTTTCTCCTCCTGCCCTCAATCTTTCCCAGCATCAGGGTCTTTTCCAATGAGTCGGCTCTTCACATCAGGTGGCCAAAGTATTGGAGCTTCAGCACCAGTCCTCCCATTCAGTAGGGTGTATTTTCATTTAGTTTCCTTTGCTGTGCAGCGATTTTCAGTTTAGCGTTGAGTTTTCAGTTTAGGTTTTCAAATATAGTCATATTTATTTATTTTTGCTTTTCTTTTTCTTGCCTGAAGGAGATAAATTTAAAAAAATCTTACTAAGACTGATGTCAAAGACTGCACTGCCTATGTTTTCTTCTAGGAGTTTCAGATCTTACATTTTAAGTCTTTAATTCAGTTTCCATTTATTTTTGTATATGGTATGAAGAAGTCTTCTTTGTCTCTTTTTGAAATTTTTGCTTAAAGTTTATTTTGTCTGATATAAGTATAGCTATCCTAACCTCTGTGTGGCTTTTATTTGCATGGAATATCTTTTTCCACCCCTTTAATTTGTCATGTATTCAAATTTCACCTTCTTAAAATATGTTTAATGGAATTATGATTGGCTAGACTTATCTAGAGCTTCCTGATTCTTTTCACTTATGCTGATACACTTTCTTTTAGGTTTTTAACATGTCTATGAAATGCTAATTAAGAAAATTTATTGAAGTATAGTTGATTTCTAATATATTAATTTCTCCTGTTCAGCAAAGTAACTTAGTTATACATGTATTCTTCTCCATTATGGTTTGTCACAAGATATTGAATCTAGTTTCCTATGCTATATAGTAGGACCTTGTTTATCCATTCTATATCTAATAGTTTGTATCTGCTAATCCCAAACTCCCAATCCATCCTGCCCCCTTGGCAACCACAAGTCTGTTCTCCATATCTGTGAGTTTGTTTTTGTTTTGTAGATAGGTTGATTTGTATCATATTTTAGATTCCATATGTAAGCGATATCATGTTTGTTTTTTCTCTGACTTACTTCACTTAGTTTTATAACCTCTGGGTCCATCTGTGTTGTTGCAAATGGCATTATTTCATTCTTTTTGATGGTTGAGTAATACTCCATTTTATATATGTACCACATTTTCTTTATCCACTCACTTCTTGTTATATTTAGGTTGTTTCCATGTCTTGGCATGGAAGTACTATTGTAAATACTACTGCTATGAACATAGGGATGCATGTGTCTTTTCAGATTAGAATTTTATCTGAGTATATGCCCAAGAGTGGGATTGCTGGATCATATGGCAACTCTATTTTTACTTTTTTGAGGAAACTCCATACTGCTTTCCATAGTGACTGCACCAATTTACATTCCCACCAACAGTGTAAGAAGGTTCCCTTTTCTCCACACCGTCTCCAATTCTGACACTTTAAAAAATTCATAGTAGGAACATATACAAAACAATTTGAGTTCTGCAGTAATTTATCATAATAGAAAGTGGTTATTCCCCTATCTCTTTTGTAAAGTATGTTATTCCTTCAAATATCAGGAATTACTTATTGCTATGGTTTGAATGTTTGTGTTCTCCCCAATTCATAGTTGAAATCCTAATGCTCGATGTGATGGTATTGGGAAATGGGGGTCTCTGAGAGAAGACAGAGCCCTTATGAGTAGGATTAATGTGCTCACAAAAGAGACCCCACAGAGCTCCCTGGCCCATGCCACCATGTGAGTACACAGCAAGAAGCCTGTCTATGAACCTGGAAGTTCTCATGAAACATAGACTCTGCCATGATCCTGACTTCCCAGCCTCCAGAACTATGAAAAATAAACTTCTGTTGTTTATAAGCCCCCAAGAATGTAATGTTTCATTATGGCAGTTTGATTGGACTAACACATTTAAGTGAAATAATTTATGGTATACTGATGTGATCATGTCCAACTCTTTGTGACCTCATGGACTGTAGCCAATCAGGCTCCTCCACCCATGGGATTTTCCAGGCAAGAGTACTGGAGTGGGTTGCCATTTCCTTCTGCAGGGGATCTTCCCGACCCAGGGATCAAACCTGGGTCTCCCGCATTGCAGGCAGACGCTTTACCCTCTAAGCCACCAGGGAAACCCCATAGTATACTGATAGTATTCTATAAATAAAGATGAAAAGGTATACATAGGGTTGTGGACAATTAGGTAACAGTTACTTTATAACTAAGAAATCTAACAAATTTATAAGATTATATGGAAATAAATATTGCCAAGTGAGAATTAGAAAATGAATGTTACTAGTCGAGGAAACTGTTGAACACAAAGGCAGAGACTGCTCTTGGCTACCTGATACTCCTTCTCTCTTGATGACTGAACCTCGGTGCTGTGCTGTGCTTAGTAGCTCAGTTGTGTCAGACTCTTTGAGACCCTGCGGACTGTAGCCTGCTAGGCTCCTATGTCCACGGGCATTGTCCAGGCAAGAATAGTGGAGTGGGTTGCCATGCCCTGCTCCCAGCCCAAGGATAGAACCCAGGTCTCCTGCATTGCAGATGGATTCTTTACCATCTGAGCCACCAGGGAAGTCCAGCTGAACTTTTCCATTGTTGAAGTAGCAATGTGCTCAGCTATAAAGAGCATTTAAAATCTCCCTGTCACAGAAATACCTAATGTGAGTGGAAGTCCTTATATGGGAAACTATGTAAGTTCTATAACCTATTTTCTTAAACTTCTATCTTAAGACAGTCTAAATTTTAAACCAGGTAAAGCAAAAAGGGTTTCATCTCTCATGCTGCATTTCATCTTGCTGTAATCACTTGTATCAATGTCTGTCTTTTCTAAAATGTGTACACTATCTGAAGACAGGGGCTGACTATATCTTGTTTTACAGTGGAACTCAGAAGAGGCAGAGAATAAATATTTGTTGCATGAACAAATGAATGAATGAAGCGGTAACTATTGGAATTTTGTGTTGAGAAGGATTCTGAGTTATTATTTTACTTAGGGGAAATAATGTCATTACCCATTTGTTAGGACTGTCATAGGCATGTGTCATTTTCATTAGGGCTTTAGGTTGTAAACACAAGTCACTAACATTATGCTATTTTATTGCAAAGTTTGGTTTTGTGTTATGTGTTGATGTAATAACCATTAAAGGAATAATAAAACATTAAAGTTGGAATAAAACTGGTTTGTTTAGTTCAATCTCCTTCAAATTGTAGATCTGGGAAATAAGTGCTTTATTGAAAGTCTCACAGCTTCTTGAAGTGATTTCTTGTATTTTTTCTCCCACATGTTGCTGCCTCACCTTATTAATCCCTTCATCTCCCTAATTTAACTACCAGTTAGAGTCACTTGGCAGTTATTGCAGCACAAGCGAGAGGCAGAGAAAAGAATGTTAGAGATTATTTTGAAATTACATGAAAAGTCCTGAAACTCTGAAACTATGAAGTTTCACTTCCTCTCCTTTTTCAATACCCTCTCACTCCAATTTTTGTAAAGTGAAGCTAAGTGCACAACTTACTATTGGTAAGTTTTTCTTTTCACTTTTTTACCTTTCTGAATCACATACACTCAATTCTATCCATTTTTGATGAGAAGCATGGTTATTCAACTTTTGTTTCTGTTTCACAAAATACTGTAGAGTATTTACATTTTGGCTTATCCTTAGAAATTTTAATTGCATTTAATGTTGTTACTTTATAATTTCTTTTGGAAAACCTTTCATCTGATAAATATGATCTTTTTTTGCCCTACAAACCGCTGAAAGATTATAGACATTTGGACTGAGAAAAGGTCAGTTTTTTTTTTTTTTAAATTGAAGTAAGTATAGTTGATTGACAATGTATTTGTTTCAGGTGTCCAGCAAAGTGATTCAGTTATACATATATTCTTTTTAAAATCCTTTTCCATTGTAGGTTATCACAAAGTATTGAGTATAGTTCCCTGTGCTATACAGTAGGTCCTTGGGTTATATTATATGTATAGTAGTGACTGTATATTAATCGCAAACTGCTACTTTATCCCTCCGTTCCCACCCCAAGAAAAGGTCAGTTTTGACTAAGATGGTACCATGTGTCAGAATAAGGGAGGGGCCGACAGAAAGATGCAAACAGCAAAGCAGGTATGACAACCAGAATATGGTGTTTAGGCAAGAGATACCCACACACTTGTGAAACCTCACACTATTTTTTAGATTATCTATGGGAGTGCTATTATATGAGCATGGCTGGCTACACCATAAAGTATACTGGCCTCATGTACAATGTGAAATAACAGGAAAAAATGCTGACATTATTTTCCAGCATTTTTGTTTTAAATATTGTTTTGCTCAAAGTGTTTCTTAATAAATTCAGACTTTGGTCATGATTTAGTATAAAGTTATAAAAATAAAATATGGTTGACTCAGGACACTTGTAGATTATCCTATTAAATTGCTTCAGTGGTAGGACATTAAATAGTATATTATTCCTTTTAAGTTGCTCACATGCTTACTTGCTCAGTCATGTCCGACTATTTGCAACCCTATGGACTGTAGCCCACCAGACTCTCTCTCCACAGGGTTTCCCAGGCAAACATACTGCAGTGGGTTGCCATTTCCTTTTCCAGGGGATCTTCTAGATCCAGGGATAGAATCCATGTTTCCTGCACTGCAGATGGATTCTTTACTGCTGAGACATTGGGGACGCCTGGTAGTATCTTGGGGCATACTAAATTGAATTCCAGCCATAAAGGGTCACAGAACTGCAACTGTGAATTGGAAGGGTTCTTAAGTAGTACCTGGTCCACAACCTTCACCTGAGGAACTCAGACGTAGGTAAGTAAGTGTGGCCCCAAATCTACGAAATAGATCCCAAGGGCTAAATGTTTAACAGCAACTCTCGTTCTGAACTCTCAAGTTTTTCTTACAATGCCATTTGAGTTATGTAACAACTGTTACCTGTAAAAACCATTTTTTTCTCCCTCTAGAGACTTAGGAATTCGCTCTTCGCCGGGGTGTATTAAAGCCGTCGTTTAAATTCTAAAGTTGACTCTCACGGCTCTACGTGTTAAAGCCTCGTGCTCACACCTCGTCCTTTCACAGGTGTAATCCGCTTGCCAGCTCCCAAGTTTGAGAACACTAATGTTCTAGAAACTTGGGTTTGAGCCTGGGTCTGATCCCTGCGTTGGGAATATCCCCTGAGAAGGGAATGGCCCACTCCAATATTCTTGTCCGGAGAATTCCACAGACAGAGGAGCCTGGCGGGTTGCAGAGTGGGACAGACTGAGCGACCAACACTTTCACTGTTCACAGTAATTAGTGGCCCTGAAATTGGCTCCATCTCCTGTAAGCGCTTCTTATGCACGCTCCCGCAGTCTCTGGCTCTTCCTCCTCGTTCTCACACCCTAACCCTCCCGACAAGTCCGTTTCTCGGAATCCAAGGAAGAGTGTGAAAGTGGATGAGGACGCTGAGGTTATGACAGCAAGAGTCCTGTCTTTGGACGGACCCCTGGTTTGGGAGAGTTCAGTCTATCTCTTCATCTCACCGGAACAGCAAAGTTGTCTCCCGGCAACCTCTGCGGGCCCTTCCGGTTCCGCTCTGTGATAGTCATGTGACCGCGCATAAACAGCGGAAGTCGGCCTCAGGGAAGGATGCTGCCGACTGGCCCTATAGTCGTATCTGTGCGTCTGTGCCTTTCAACAGTGGTCGGCAAACCCTGTCAGGTTGGAAGAATGGACCTGTGCCCAGAGGGAAGGTAAGTTTTATCTAACCTAAGAGACTGACTGAGACCGTCGGATACTGAAGCCCTTTCACTGGGGAACTTAGTAAAAACAGGCAGGGAGCTTACTGTGCCTCCACGACTTGCCTTCCTTCTCGTGTTTATTAGTTCTCTGAGTAGTTCTGATATTTATCAGATTCTTTGTTGTTGTTTAGTGGCTAAGTTGAGTCCAGCTCTTTGTGACCCCATGGAGTGAAGCCTGCCTGGTTCCTCTGTCCGTGAGATTGCCCAGATAAGAATACTAGAGTGGGTTGCCATTTCTTTCAGGGGATCTTCCCCACCCAGGGATGGAATTCTGCAGACTCTTGAATTGCAGGCGAATTCTTTTACCGCTGAGCCACCAGGGAAGCAAGTGCACATAAATCCCCTGTGGGTTTTGTTGAAATGCAGCTTCTGGCTCAGTATATTTGAGGTTAGGCCCCAGATTCTGTATTTTTAACAAGTTCCCAGGTGTTGCTTATTTGTTGCTGATCTACGGAGCACACTTTGAGGAGCAAAACTCTTAAGACACTGATTGGCAAACACTGCATTGGGATCACCTGGGAATAGTGAAAATTACCTTCTAGAGCCATCCCTGGATATCTTGATTAGGTGAGTAGAGAGATGCAATGATGCTAAGACACTAGGGATTTTTAAAAGCTTCCAAGTAATTCAGCCAAATCTGAGAACCACTGAGATAAGCCACTGATTCTAGGGCATCTGGTGTCTTCGGCTACTCTCCCTCTTGACCACTTGGGTTCTAAACCCTTTTTGGAGAGTGATCTACCTTCCTGCCTCCACCTGGAAACAGATTTATTCCATTTGAAAGTAGATTAGAGGTATGGTTCTCCTACCACTTAAATCTCACTCCTGGGCATATGCCCAGACAAAACTATAATTAGAAAAGATACCTCATGTACCTCAGTGTTCATAGTAATACTGTTTACTATAGCCAAGCTATGGAAGTGTGTCCATCAACAGAGGATTGGATAAACAAGATGTGGTACATATATACAATGGAATGTTACTCAGTCATAAAAAGAATGATAATTGCAGCAACATGGATGAACCTAGAGATGATCGTACTAAGGCAGAGAAAGGAAAATACCATAGGATATCCCTTATATGTGGACTCTAAAATACAAATACAGGTGCCCGAGAGCTGATTGGTTAAAGACGCCAGAGTAGAAGGGTGTGTGCTCATCTGTTCCTGAGAGAGCACCCAAATCACAACTAGCCGTTGAACAACCATGGACAGGAGGATGCTGGGATGCCTCCCATCCAGAGGCAAAGGAGAAGCTGCAACCAGATGGTAGGAGGGGCACAATCATAATAAGGTCAAATCCCATACCTGGCAAGTGAGCGATCCACAAACTAAAGAACAGTAATGTCAAAGCAGTTCTTCCACTGTTGTGAAGGTTCTGAGACCCACGTCAGGCTTCCCAGCCTAGGGATACAGGCAAAGGGACTAGGAGCCCCCAGGAAATCTGACGTTGAAGGCCAGTGGGGTTGGATTACAGGACTGGGGGAAATGAGACTTCACTCTTGGAGGGTACGCATAGAATCTTGGGCTCACTAGGACCTAGGGGGAAAGGAGCAGTAACCCCACAAGAGACTGAAGCCCATGTCCCTGCTGGTGTTGGAGAGTCTCCTGAAGAGGTGTGGGTTGGCAGTGGTTTGCCATACGGATGGTGGTACTGGCAGCTGCAGTCCTGGGAGCTGCCCACTGGTGGGAACCCTACTGGAGGATGCCATTAGCCCTACCATAGATCCTGTAGACTCCAGGGAGGGGTTGCCTCAGGTCAAAACACCAAGGTAGGATGCAAAAGAATATATTTATAAAGCAGAAACAGGCTCACAGAGGAAGAGAACAGACTTGTGGTTTTGAAGGGGAAGGGGTGGTAGGGGAGGGTTGGATTGGGAGTTTGGGGTTGGCAGATGCAAACTATTATATGTGTGCTGTGCTTTGTCACTCAGTCGTGTCCGACTCATTGCAGCCCTATGGACTGTAGCTGCCAGGCTTCTCTGGCCATGGGATTCTCCAGGCAAGAGTACTGGAGTGGGTTGCCATGTCTTCATCCAGGGGATCTTCCAAGCCAAGGTAACAAACTCATGTCTCCTGCATTGGCAAGAAAGTTCTTTACCACTAGCAACCATCTGAGAATCCCTCAACTGTTTTATATAGGATGGATAAACAACAAGGTCCTACTGTACAGCACAGGAAACTATGTTCAGTATCCTGTGATAAACCTTAATAGAAAAGGATGTGAAAAAGAATGTGTGTGTATATATATATATATATATATAATATATAGCTGAGTCACTTTGCTGTCCAGCAGAAATTAGCAGAACATTGAAAATCAACTATGAAAAGTGAAAGTGAAAGTCCCTCAGTCGTGTCCAGCTCTTTGCAACCCCATGAACTGTAGCCCACCTGACTCCTCTGCCCATGGTGTTCTCCAGACAAGAATAGTGGAGTGGGTTGCCATTCTCTTCGCCACAGGATCTTCCCGACCCAGGGATCGAACACAGGTCTCCCACATTTCAGGGAGATTCTTCACCATCTGAGCCACCAACTAGAGCAGAAATTAACACAACATTGTAAATCAACTGTACTTCAATAAAATTTTAAAAAACCTTATGTATTTTCTAGGGAAAAAATGACCTCTTACATGCTTCAGCATAATGATCAAAATCAGAAAATTTTACACTGATACAATACTGTTACCTAATCTACAACTTGTATGCAAATTTCATCGATTATTGCATTAACATTTTTTTACAGATATAGATTTTCTCCAGTTCTTAATCCATCTAGAAGTACTGTTAGTTTGTTCCTCAAGATTCAGTTTAACTCCTTTGCTATTTTAAAGCCAGAGCAAGATGGCTCTCATCACTTCCCAAAGTGACAAAAGACAAAGTTAATAGGATTTTTTGCCTTTTAAAATATAGCTTTAGCTGTGTTACTTTGCCCACTTGCTATCAAGGCCTTCACACATTAAAGAGGCCACAAATAAATTTTCTTTCACTTCTGTTCCAGCCTACATTTCCTCCTGTAATGACTGTCTTTGCATACAGGACTCTTCAGTTGGTGCCAAAATAGGTGGGTCTCACCTATCTGCTTCTCAAATTGTACATCCAGTGGACGCCTAAAGCATGATCTATAAATGGAAATATTGATAAACTGTACCTCATTGAAATAAAAAAAACTTTGGCCCTGTGAAAGATCCTGTTAAAAGGATTTTAAAAAGCTACTGACTGGGAGAAATATGTTTACAAACCACTCATGATTGACTGAATAATGGCTACTTAAAAATATCAAGTCCTGATGCCTGGAATATGTAAATGTTATTTTATTTGGAAAAAAGGTCGTTGTTGTTGTAATTAAACTACAGCTTTTGAGATAAGGACATTATTTAGGTTATCCAGGTGGGCCCTAATGCTAACACAATTTTCCTTGTAAGAAAAAGGCTGAGGGAAATTTGACAAATACATATAGAGAAGAGACACCAGCATGAAGACAGAGGCAGAGACGGGAGTAATGCAGCCACCAGGGAAACTGGTGAGGAGAGAGCAGAGAGTGAGCAGGGGCCACGCGCGGGACTGCCCGCAGCCACTGGAGGCTGGAGGAGCAGAAGATGGCCGTTCTTCCAGGGGGAGAGCAACCCTGCTGACAGCTTCCCATTGAGCTTCACGCATCCAAAGCTGCCAGGGAGTAGGTTTCCGTTGTTTTAAGACACACTGTTGGCGGTGATTTGCTCCATCAGCCCTGGGAAGCTAATACAGCATCTGTCTAACAAAGGACTAGTGTTTTATTTTTTAATTTTTAAAATTTTCGTTGGCTTGTAGTTGATTAACAATGCTGTGTTAGTTGCAGGTGTACAATACGTGACTCAGTTATACATATATCCCCTCTTTTCCACATTCTTTTCCGACATAGGTTATTACAGAATATTGAGTAGAGTTCCTGTGTTGTACAGTAGAAGGACTGGTATTTTAAACAATGAAAGAACATCACAAACTCAACAGTGAAACTCAGTCTGATTAGAGTGAGCACAAACATACACAGACATTTCACTGACAAGGATAAACAGATGGCAGAGAAGCACAAAAAAGGGTGTTTAACAAGACTATCCATCAAGGGAATGCAAATTGAAACAAAAAATGGTACAAATGTATTTACATAGTAGAGTTTCAGATACAGGAAACACATTTATGGTTATTAGGAAAGGGGGAGGGATAAATTGGGAGTTTGGGATCGGCATAAACACACTACTACATGTAGTAGTACATATACTACATGTACTATTGATACATGTAACAACTTGGATGAATCTCCAAGAAATTATGTTGAGTGAAAAAAGTTAATCTCAAAAGGTTACCTTGTGTATGATCTTAACTTATGTAACATTTTTTAAATAGCGGAATTTTGAAATAGAAGACAAAGTAGCGATTGCCACTAAATAGAAAAGAGGATTGGGAGGGGTGGGAAGAAGGTGGGTGTGATTATAAAAGCACAACATGAAGAGTCCTCATGATTTACCTTTTTTTTTTTTCTTAAAAAATAAATAGCAACTTTATTAAGTTATAATTCACATACCATAAATTCGCCCATTTACAGTGTATACAGATCCGTGTTTTTTAAGATATTCACAAATATTTGCAATGATTCTCACAATCAATTTTAGAACATTTTTGTCATTCTGAAACTAAACCCTGATAACTACTAAAAGTCATTCCCTACTTTCCAGCCACCCTGCCCATGGTCATAGTCAAACACTAATCGATTTTCTGTCTCTATATATTAGGAAACTGTGATCTCGCAGGTGCAGGGCAACTAAACCTGGGCACTCTGGAGCCTGTGCTGCAGCTGCTGAGCCTGTGTGCCACACTAGAGAATTTGTGTGCCATAATGAAAGATTCCACGTGATGCAACAAAGATCTTGTGTGCTACAACTAAGACCCAACACAACAAAATAAATAAAGATAAGTAGTAA